ACACACACACAGAGTGCTTGCTGAATGACAGAAAGCTGATGCCGGTTTCACCGCACGTGCTTTTATGCTTCCTGGTCGCTACGTCACCCCGCCCGTCACGTCTCGCCCATCCATTGGACTGATTACACATGTGATTCAGAGCCGGTCACGCTGGAGGCGTTCCCTTAGCGTTTCGACGCAGCTCGAGTTCCTGAAGGGGAACTCCTATTATTTGACATAAAATAAACTTTAACTGTAATAAAATAAAACATTTATTAAAAAAGTAAACTTACTTTATTTCAGCTAGTTGCACAGGCAGCATTTCTCATTTTCATTTAGTTTTTGATGTACTAAAATAATTAAAACTGAAATCAAATGTAATAAAAAATATAGACATTAAAAAAACTAATAAAATGACACACAACAAAATGACTAAAACATTAACTAAAATTAAAATGAAAACAGAAAATATAAAAATAAAAAACAGTTTCATAATATTAATAAAAAGTATAACAGTATCTCAATGATGCTAAAACAAAACTGAATGGGATTAAACACACATTAACAAGTACATTTCTTTCATGTCAAATAAGTGGGAATCTTTGTAAAATATATGATTTTTAATATTCATTTGCAATGGGCCCAGTATTTGCTTTGTAGGTTTTTTTTTCCTTCTTTCTGACACACACACACACTGATGCACACAAACAAGCCTCTATAGTAACAGTATCAGAGCGTAAATAAATAATTTCTCCTTTAAGGGAAATTTAAACCAAGGAAAGAGCTGACAGATTCACCAACACAAAAACATACAAGCCTGAGAGGCAGACAGATGCGAGCGTGGTATCAGCGGGACGAGTGCTGCACTCTCAGCGTGTGACGGAGGTGTCAGGCCTCCATATGTGAACACTGTGACACTACACGCCTGCCGCACATCTAAACAGATGAAATATTAGGTGTTTTCGACTTAAAAGCAGTGCGGCTCAGACCGATCAGTGTTTGACATCAAAGTACCTCGAGAGCGTTTCGAAAGCATAACCGTCTGTATGGTACTTTGATGTCATACACCGATCGGTCTGCACACACAAACAAATCCAAAACCTAGATATTTTAGGCAATATAGAAATCCTGGCCAGGACGCGTCCTGGGAAAATGGCACGTATGGTCACCCTAGGGTTATACTGTACACGCAAGCCTAAAATCAAGCTCTAAATCAGAAATCTGGGCTGTTCTGGAGAACTGTAAAAAATAACAGCTGAAACTGTGATTGCAAAGACCAAAGGTTTGTGAATTAACAGAATTATTTTGGATGTTAAGCATGTTGTGTTTTTATTTTCTCGCTAAATTACATTTTCAGCTCCATCCATTAAATTTATACCACAGTCAGACAGAAAATCTTGTTGGCAAAATAACCATATTTTGCACATCACACATTAAATGAAGCAGCCTTTGTGTTTTTCTGCTGCTACAATTAGGGAAGTTATTTAAAATCTGAAACAGTATATTTATATTTGTTTGATGGAGTTGACATCAAGGTTAAAAAAAAATTGAAAATTTTGAACACTTTACAAAAAAAAAAAAAAACTATTTCAGTTTTTCTACTTCAAAATTGTACGTTTAATTCAAAGTATTCCTTGCTTTTTCTTTGTAATTATTTGAGAATAAATAATCTGAGCGAAAGTTGTAAATCCTACACCAATTTTTTTTTTCAGTGTATATAGACGATTGCTTAAAAATATATAAAACTATATACTATACTAAAACTATATTGCTTTTAAAAATATATACAAAGCTCCGTCATCACATACTACAGTAAATCCAAAAAACGAACGACCAGTTAAAGTTCCCTGGCGGCTAAATGATTTCATCCCTCTACAACTACTGTGTCAGAGGAGGTTTGTGTGCCACTACAGCAAATTACACTCCCGCAGTTCTCCCTGCTCCCTCTTTATTGAACATTATAGAGTGTGAGATTAAAACAGGGACGGAGGAGAAGAGAAAAAACACAGAGAAGAGGAAAGGAAGTCCATTCAGCACCCATAATCAGCCGACAAATGAAAGCAGCGGCGTAAGCGCAGGACACTGTTGCGTCATTTACGGACAGCATAACTTAGATGCAGTGACCGCAGCCTTAAGAACGTTCATCTGACTGTATACGCTTTGCATTTTCAACGTTTCCCAGAAATGTACAGCTTCAGAATATGAACTGCTAATTGCATTTGATCTGAACTGCAATGTCTATTTCATCAAATATGACACAAAAAGCGCAACAAAGAGCGGCGACAACAAACTGCATTATCTTTTTAGAAGCCAAATCAGGAGATTTCTTCTCCTTATACAAATTATTTGATTCCCTAGAAACAGAAATCTGATTAGGATTGTCTTTCAATTTCCTGACACTGACAACCCACTAACCTAATTACCCGCTGGTCCCCGTGGTCCTACTCTTCCTCGCAAACTCCGGGAGATCATTTGATGGTTGCTAAGTCGCAGCAAAATCTCATTTCTCCTAACTACAGTTTAAATATTTTTATTGATAGTCACAGACGGTGGGGAGCGAGATAAAATGATTTTGAATTATGCTAAAGATTGGATTGACTAAACGCACCGTAAATATAATTTAAATTTGGCCCAAATGGTTTGACTTAACAAGCTTATTATTACAAAATACCTAAAGGACATAACTTTAGTCCTAAACAAAGGCACATTCTCATTCTTTGTCTTGTTATTGAAATTGCCACGCTAATTAATCTGGAATATAATGCTAATGTTACTAATGTAAAAATAGATTAAACACAACACAGTGGTCTAGTTTTGCTCACGAGCATGAAAAAATATCCATGCTGAAACTAGTCTCAGCTGGTTTAGTAAGTCTCCCCAAACCATTCTAAAACATCAAACTAGGTCAGATAAAACCCATCAGGCTGGTTTAAGATGTTTTTTTTTCTTTTTTTGTATATGGTCACATTTGACCGCATTCTCCAGTCGTCAGGTTTCTCTAAAGATCTCGTCGACCGGGCAGAAACGCTTCATGTCACATGCTACCGTCAGCCATCGCGAAGCCGGTGTGAAGATTCAGAGGTACATAGGTGCCTGTTTTAATTAGAACAGTAACTGCCATAATTAAACAGATGCTGGCAGGAATTAAACCTTGTCACTCTCTAGTTTCCCGTTACACCCGGAGCAAGAGGGTCAGGGTGAGGGAAAGAGATAAAAGAAAAAGGCTGATTTGTAACGGATCGGTGTGTCATGAGGTCTTTAGATCTCACTGGTTCGATTAGTACAACATGTATTGTGAAATTACAGCTATACAGTCAAATCAGATCCTACTAGATCAAGAACGTTTTTATAGTTTTATCTGCATTGTGAATCAGAGGATGAGACTCATCAGTGCATGTTATTCCATTGGAAAACTAATTTAAAAAGTAGTAACTTTTACACCAGTATTCAAACCCAATTTGAAAGCCCTACGTTGGGCGCCAGTTTTTCTGATTCTCGCTTTAGTTAAATGCAGAAGTAAAACAAGTTACGAATGCCATTTCAAATTGATCTTAAGACAATTAGAGTAATGTTCCCTCTAAGCTGTGCGTGTGTGCAACTGTGCACTTCTTACATCGCAACCACGTGGAATAATATGCCGCGCACATGACAGACGCAAAACTGAGTTGGGAAAGCCATTTGACTGAATTCTAGTAAATGCAAAATAATTGCAATGC